TGCTTGTTGCTTTTACAGTTGAAAAGATGGAGCAGTACATAAGACGCGAAAATGAGTTTAAAAGAACGGTATAAATAGAGGCTTTTATTTTTAGAAGTTTGATATACCTAATTGGTTCTATGAGAATCGTGTAAAAGGAATAGTAAGATAAACTCCAATATTCGTTTTAACTTTTGCTAGTGCCGTGCACTTCAATGCACTTATTTTGATTATTTCTTAATTCTTTTTGTAAATTATTTTTTCGATGTAGTTATCTACTGCATTTTTTTGGGCAATTCATCACCTCAATTTGGCATTTAGTTATGTATATATTGCGTCTTGCTGGAGTAGTAGATAGACCACCACTTTCACATTAAAATAACCTTAATGGTTTGTATTTTAGTACGAGAGCTATTTGTAAAATTGATCAAAGTCTTGTAATCTAATTGCAATACTTGTTAAATTATATCTCGAGTTTGAAAAATAAATAATAATAATAATAACCCGAATCGACCCGCGGGTCTTATTATCCTAATTCATTCTACCTGAAAACATAAAGGAAAATCTGTAAAAGAAAAAAAAAGAAAAAAAAAGATTTTGGACCATAATATCGTAAATACTTACTTATGCTTCTGTTGTTTTAGGATAGCGTGATATTTACCATCCGTAGACCGGAATGTGTTAAATGCCTCTTGAAGGCGTGTAGCCAAATACATGTTATTGGCTATGGGTGCTTGTTGCTTTTGCGGTTGAAGAGATGGAGCAGTACATAAGACGCGAAAATTAGTTTAAAAGAACGGTATAAATAGAGGCTTTTATTTTTAGAAGTTTGATATACCTAATTGGCTCTATGAGAATCGTGTAAAAAGAATAGTAAGATAAACTCCAACATTCGTTTTAACTTTTGCTAGTGCCGTGCACTTCAATGCACTTATTTTGATTATTTTTTAATTCTTTTTGTAAATTATCTTTTCGATGTAGTTATCTACTGCATTTTTTTTTGGGCAATTCATCATCTCAATTTGGCATTTAGTTATGTATATATTGCATCTTGCTGGAGTAGTAGATAGACCACCACTTTCACATTGAAATAAGTCTGTATTTTAGTATGAGAGCTATTTGTAAAATTGATCAACGTCTTGTAATTTAATTGCAATACTTGTTAAATTATATCTCGAGTTTGAAAAATAAATAATAATAATAATAATAACCCGAATCGACCCGCGGGTCTTGTTCTCCTAATTCATTCTACATGAAAACATAAAGGAAAATATGTAAAAGCAAAAAAAAGATTTTGGACCATAATATCGTAAATACTTACTTATGCTTCTGTTGTTTTAGGATAGCGTGATATTTACCATCCGTAGACCGGAATGTGTTAAATGCCTCTTGAAGGCGTGCAGCCAAATACATGTTATTGGGCTATGGGTGCTTGTTGCTTTTGCGGTTGAAGAGATGGAGCAGTATATAAGACACGAAAATGAGTTTAAAAGAACGGTATAAATAGAGGCTTTTATTTTTAGAAGTTTGATATACCTAATTGGCTTTATGAGAATCGTGTAAAAGGAATAGTAAGATAAACTCCAACATTCGTTTTAACTTTTGCTAGTGCCGTGCACTTCAATGCACTTATTTTGATTATTTCTTAATTCTTTTTGTAAATTATCATTTCGATGTAGTTATCTACTGCATTTTTTTGGGCAATTCATCACCTCAATTTGGCATTTAGTTATGTATATATTGCGTCTTGCTGGAGTAGTAGATAGACCACTACTTTCATATTGAAATAACCTTAATGGTCTGTATTTTAGTATGATAGCTATTTGTAAAATTGATCAAAGTCTTGTAATTTAACTACAATACTTGTTAAATTATATCTCGAGTTTGAAAAATAAATAATAATAGTAATAATAACCTGGATCGACCCGCGGGTCATTTTCTCCTAATTCATTCCACCTGAAAACATAAAGAAAGATCCGTAAAAGCAAAAAACAGAAAAAGAACGGTATATAAGATGCCAAAATCAGTTTAAAAGAACAGTATAAATGCCTCTTCAAGGCATGTAGCCAAATACATGTTATTTGATATAGGTGCTTGTTGCTTTTGCGGTTGAAGAGATGGAGCAGTATATAAGATGCCAAAATCAGTTTAAAAGAACGGTATAAATAGAGGCTTTTATTTTTAGAAGTGTGATATACCTAATTGGCTCTATGAGAATCATGTAAAAGGGATAGTAAGATAAACTCCAACATTCGTTTTAACTTTTGCTAGTGCCGTGCACTTCAATACACTTATTTTGATTATTTCTCAATTCTTTTTGTAAATTATCTTTTGGATGTAGTTATCTATTGCATTTTTTTCGGCAATTCATGACCTCAATTTGGCATTTGGTTATGTATATATTGCGCCTTGCTAGAGTAGGGATCTCCAAGGTACTTCTTGTTTACAAGGATTCTACCTTCTCACCTTCTTTGTAAAAGTTGTAATCCGATTAATTCATGCTTTCTTTGGATCAATACTTGATCGCCATTTTTAAGTTGTTCAGGAGTATTCGAATTGATTATTCTTATTATGACAGGATATGACCTACATTTAACTGTAATTGAAACCATTGCCTTGCGATTGGAAGTAATCATGAATTATATAAGAAGGAATTTAAGGATTGATCGTTGAACATTTAGTACAAGCAGGCGTGAGTCTCTTTGTTGATACTTTTTTGTAATGACTCGTTCATTGACATTAAATCTAGAAACTGTGTGATTACTAAGGTGCCTAGCTAGGTACATTAGCACAAGACAGCCTAAAAGTATATGGCTTGTTGGAAAATGATTAGAATGAAATTTTATAATAAATGTTATGATTCGTCATGTCCTCCAATAACCTCTTTGAATACTTCAACAATTGCAGAAGTTATTACAGGTGCACTGGCCAAGGAAGCACGGTAAAGAATCGAGTCGAGAGATCGTTCCAAGCCCCTCGATTATGGTCATAACATACGAAGGCCAACATAATCATCACAGCCTTAGGACTCTTCCGGCCAAAACTTTGCCGGGATGTTAATGCCTTCGGATTTCCGATTAACATCTCCTTACTTTCAACAAGAACTATTGGTTCAGTTACTCCAAATGGAAAATAATCACCAAGACGACACAATGTCCAAAGACTCTACACGGACTTCAAGCGCTTTCCTCAAGGCCTCCCTCCCGAATGCAAGAACTGAGATATTGTAAATTAATTATACTCAAGTGATAAGTGAGAACAATGAAGCCCTCTTTTTGCCCATTTTCTTTTCTGTTTTTTTGGTAAAATGTAAATATTATAAAACAAATGAAGTACAGCAGCTTAGGGGCATTCCCTAGCATTACAAATAGAGCTAATGATTCGAAAATATGGAGATAGGAAGTCTCCATATAGTAACCAATACAACATTTGATTGAGAAGGTCTAATTTTTTGATAGAGCGATGCTTTACCTCTTACATTTTTACGCACCTTTGCCAAAATGATATGGCTGTCAGTAGTTTTGTTTTGAAAACGTCTTCTATTGCGTTCCATCCAAATGCAATAGATGGTTGCTAGAAAGGACACCGTGATGAGTCTTGCCGTCAAGTCTTTGCCCTTTATTGCTCTAATTATCCATTGAAGTTCCTCATTTCATCCTCCTAAAGGACACTTAATCCCTTGTTGTGCAAGGATACTACGCCACATGCTGCATGTCCACTCACACTAGAAGAACACAAATGTGTTCTGTCTTTTGCACCAGCCCTACAGAAATGACATTAGATATCAATTAAAGACATCCATTGGGCAACGATCTCTGCTGTCGGTAGTCTGTTTCTGCAAACTAGCCAACCAATAAAATTGTGTTTGCTAATGCCGCTGCACCAAATTAGGTTATACCACTCCACAGTTGGTCCCACATACCTGAGTTCGTCATTTAGTAACTTGAGATAGGAATAATCGAGGTTAGAACGAGTCGCAATTTCAGGAGGTAGTACCAACTCCATGCCATATTGCCCTTAATGTTGAACTGCATAATTGGAGTGCCTCTGCATTTGGTGTTGTGAACCCATATACTCCAAAGTGGAGAAGACGGACGATTGATGAGGTTCAACATCGTGCGGCCCAACAATACTTTGTGCCATTTATTCAGATTTGGTAAACTCAATCCGCCTTCCCTTTTAAGTGAGCAAACTACTTGCCATGCAACCTTGTGCGATCTATGATATACTGCATTACCGGCCCATAAGAATGATTGAGAGTTTTCAGAGTCGGTCCAAGAGGCTGGACCAGAAATGCCTAACTTGGAATTCCTAATTGACAGTAGTAGTCACATGGATGGGGGCCTTTTCTGTGGTCCAAGACAAAGAAAATATTTGGTCCTTGCGAAAGGCCAATTTAAACGGGAGAATACACAATTAGACAAACAAGCTTGTTTTGTCGACTAATAAGCAGATTTCTAAGCACCCCATTCTCTTTGATCCTGTTCGTAGAAAAATTCATGATTAATATTTTTCCTAAGATATTTCAATCATGTCCTTGGTCGGGACAACCTTATGAAAACCAGACAAAATCACCATTGTCTATCATTCACAGATCACGAAAGGGCGCTCGGAAAGGACCAAAAATTTCACTTACATAGAACGAAACTAACGTTCATACGAATCACTTCTAAATGCCAGCAATGCAAGAGGTCTCACCATGAGAAGTCCCGTGGATCTATTTTTAGAGCAGATCTTGGTTTGAGTAATCTCTACATTTAGTAAACCATGGGAAATACCGCCCTATAGACTTAGGTATAACCTAAAGTTTGACCTGGAGTCACCCTCCTCACTGTAGACTCTCGTTATTCCCAAAATGTCCATTTTAAAACTATAATCATCAGACTTCATAGATGGACCTGCCATGCAAGTTTTAGCAACTTGTTGAAGAACGTTCATTTAAAATTGATTTGAATAAAGAAAGCGATACAACTGCATCTCTCGCCAAATAAATGAAACACGTTATTGAATCAATTGATGGATCACTTGGGAGAAATCTGGATGGGCATCCCATGGACGGGGAATGGGAGGGGGTCCATGGTGATCGGCTCGTCGGGATGGATCAAGGACCAGTCGTAGTGGGTCACGACGTGGTGCACGAGCACGAGGATGTTCATTCTTGCTAACTGGGACCCAGCACAGACTCTCGGGCCTCCTCCAAAGGGCACGTACACATACGGCGGTTTCGCTTCATTGAACCGGTCCGGGTTGAAGCTCATCGGGTCTTGAAAGTGTTCCGGGTCGTAATGCGTCCCATAGGTTGTCCACAGCACCTGAAATTAGAATGGCTCCATAAGATATAAAGTCGGTGTATTCCACGTGTATGTAATACATTATCATGATTCTTGTCGACTTAGGTCGTCATGTCAATACGAGTATTTTGAAATCATGTAATTGTGCACGGCATTTTTTCAAATCATCAATTTCTTTGCCTCTCAATTTATATATCTTAAGCGAAACGGTGAAATCTAGGTAGGGAGAGATTTAAATCATGAACAAGTGGCTCATTTTTAATACGGCTTCGACCGTCATTTAATAACTCAAGTTAAGGAAGATGCGGGTGACTTCGTTGCCATGCATGCTTGTGATGAGTGCATGACGACTTTAATTTAATTAACAAGCGTGCATGTGCCCTGGACAATGGACATTCTCTTTTCAAAGCAACTTCAATCATATGAGCGTGGGCGGCGTACAAAGGTTTTCTTTCACGATTAGGTCAATTGATATGGAGTAAAATAAAGTATGGCCGGTGTTGGACCCGGTCTATGTTATTCAACGTATTGGCATGTGGCGTTAATGGGTCATGAAGGGGATGCAACGTTGCCACTTAAATAATCTTTTAATTGAAAATGGAGTTGGATCGAGGGTTTCAAGACTCAATCTAGGCCTCCGATGTGACGACAATTGACTCTTTTCTTGTTTGACCATCACGACACGTCGTTTTGAGAGATGAATAAGCCGTAGAGATGCATTTGTAGTGAATTAGTTCTAATTTCACGAGAATACAAATTGAAATGTTGCGATTGGATTAAAAGTTATGTACCTTCCATCCTTTTGGGATGGTGAATCCTTCGTACTCGATATCGACGATGGCTTTCCGGAAAGAGCCGAAGATGGGAGGGAACAATCTTATGGCCTCACGAGCAACCTTCCACGTATAACTCATCTTCTTAATGTCTTCACCATTGATATCCTCCCATTCTCTTTTTCTGCTCTTGATATCCATATGTTCTGCAAATGAACAAAGCTCACTAATTTATTAAAAAATAAATATAAAATCCCAAGAGAAAATTCTAATAACATAGTCCATATTTTTCATGCAATGTCATCGATTGAAATCCATCTCAAATATCAGCAATCTTTACCCTGGGTTCTGTGACCTAGACTACGTACCCTTACTAGAATGAAAATCATATACTATAAACTGATCAAAGACACGAGAAAAAATAAGTCATAAAACATGCAACAGATTTTCACCTTTTAGTAGCAACTGATAGCAATCTGGGTGGTGAGCCAGCATTCTAAAGGTCATGGCGATGGCAAAAGAGGTAGTGTCGTGAGCTGCAAACACCATCAACACTATGTTATCGATCACCTCCTCCTCGCTCATCTCGCCCCGCAGCATCGCCGCCAAGTACCGTGGCAGCAGCACTGCCTCACCCTCCTTGTTCCTGCCTCCACCTCCTCCCGAATTCTCTCTCTCCAACTCCTCCTTCTTCTTCCTCACAATCCTCACCAACATGCTCTCTATCTCCTTCCTCGCTCTCATTGCCCTCGAAAAACTAGTCCCGGGGACCGTTACTGGTGGCGTGAAGACTCCCTCCAAAATCCTCTCGAATATTTCCGGCATTCCCGTCTCCACATCTATCCCTAACAAACATTCGAACACAATGTGGAAGGTCAAATTTTTGGTAAAGTGGTATAGGTTGATTCTCTCCTGGCCACTCCAATGTGCATCTAGGTGGCGTTGTACTAATTTGCTCAACTTTGGCACTAAAGACTCCGCTGAGGAGCTGCCAAGGCTAGAGGCGATCAGTCCATGGACGTGGCGGTGTTGCTCGCCATGCTTTTCCATGATGGAGTTCTTGCCCATGAGCTGAACTGAAGAAGAAGGCCACGAGCTTATCACCAGCTTGAACTCATTGGATAAGAAGAACTGGTTTGCTTCGGCTCCACTTACTATCACCGTCGGCGACCCCATCAATCTAGTTTTGAAGATCTTGCCATGCCTCGCGATGCGAGGTTGGACAAAGTCATCGAATAGCCGGTTGGCTTGCTGGGCCCTGTAGAAATCCATGGTTTCGCCGAGCCAAGGGAGGCCCATTCGGCCCGGGGGTAGTTTGCGCTTGGTGTTGGCACATTTTTGCTTGAGTTTGAGAAGAAGGAACAAAGGTGCTAGGGCTAAAATGAGAGGGAAGAGCCAAGAGGAAATGCAGTGGTTGATCTCCATGGCCAAGAAAGAGTGCGGACGTTATGTTTGAGAACTAGGGAATTTATAGTTTGCTGTGTTGTTATTGTGATGATAGGAAGGATGAGGGGTCTCTATATATAGGTGATGCCCCACTGGTTGAAGCATGACTAGTAATAAAATAATCAAACAAGTTGATCTTACAACAAGTCAGATAACTATTAATATCTAAGAGGCACACTGAATAAGTTATTAATCTTATAGCACCATGTTTCAATTTGTCCACGGGAGATACATTGCATAGCGCCATGCAACTCTTTTTTTTTAAACTTGCAATCATGAGCCCAAGTAATCATCAGCTCAATTCCGTCGTACCTGTTAATCAAATCAACAGTTCAATATCATATCGAAATACAGTGGAGCTTGCACTATTGTCAGGAGAAAAACACGCAATATTGCCCCCATTTCTTGCATTATATATTCGACTTCGCCTGCCCCATGTCACAAAATTAGGTTTGTGGGCATTCTTTTTCAAAGAAATAGCTCATTTTCGCTAAGTTGACTTGATTAAGAAGGGATCATCGAACCAAAGTAATGATTAAGTAGCGCCACCCCTCAGGCATGCATGTGCTCTTACGCGTAGTACCTAAACATTACCACACCGACCTTTCGAGAATTCAATCAGCCTCATTCCTCACCATATTGTACCTGGAAAACCCTATCTTATTTTAAGGAAGCAAGATACTACACAGATTCTCTAAGCCGTCCATGGTCAACATGGTTGAATATTCAATTGGCCAGAGGATCCCTAGATATCTGGTTTAGAGAAACCCACCTGACTCATTTTCCTTTTATTATGTCCCGTATTTGGGAATTCAAACCCAGAAAAGTAATCTATTACAGCTCCTACAGTCGTCCACTCCAGCAGAGAGAGAGAGAGAGAGAGAGAGCCTAAGGTCTAATCCATTTTTAGGAAGCAATGAGAGGGCATCTGAATAATGATTTGATGCACCGTTTGAATTTTGTCAAGTTGGGTGGACACAGGGATACGATGCACCGGCTGAATCTTGTTTTAGGGTTTTCATCTTTGAGAAGAATTATGTTTGTCTGTTTATTGGTGACTTGGCGTGTCAGGAAGATAGATGGGAACTGACATCTGTGGCATTGATGAAAACTCCCACAGTACACTGAGTACAGATGGACTGACTTTCTTTACTCAAATGGTAATATCTTGCTGGCGGTGGGCTCTCTTTATTTGTGAAAAGGAGTTGCTACCAGCCACAAGAACTGAGAGAACTAGCAAATCAAAAGGTACAGAAAAAAGTACTAAAAAATTCCTAAATTTATTACATTAATATTAATTTAATCACAATTTTTTTAATTAAATCAATTTAATCATAAATCTTTTAACGAATTCATCAATATAATCGATCCGGCCAATTTTGACTGAAAATCTCTAATATGAACACCGGCCGTTTTACGTAGTATATGACCGATACTGATATAGACAATTTTCTAAAATTTTTCATCTTTTTTAATTTTTGTAAAACTTTTTGTGTTTTTTCCCACTTTCCTTTTCTTTTCTTTTCTTTATTTTTTTTTACAACCTCGCTGCCCACAAGCAAGGGCCAACGACTCTTGCTTGGTCTAGGCAAGGGCATTGTGGCCCTCACCGGCCACTAGTGAGGGCCTCCCCGCCCTTGCCAAGATCCAGGCAAGGGCATTTGGCCCTCCCCTGAATGCCCTCACCTAGATTCAGGCGAGGGATTTGTGGCCATCACTAAAACTAGCGAGAGAGTAAAACGATATCTCATCATAAATATCATGATGCATCATAACAATATTGTTGGATTGCGGAAATACACGATATTCAATTTACATTGTCAAAGACATTCCCAAAAATTTCTTCGTCGAGAATGTTTATCTAGAATTCCCTTGAAATAGGCCATGTGTGCAACATAAATTATTTATTAGGCTCCGTTTTTTTGCAAAAATGAATAATTTGGAAAACTTTTTCCCAAAAAATGATCGTTTATATCATTTACAAAAACGAACGAACAAAAAACTTTTCACCATTCACTAAAATGTTTAGACATAAAGTTTTGTTAACGGTGAAATTTTTTTTATTTGCTAATTATTTCAAGCGATATGAATTATCATTTTTAGGAAAAAAATTTCAAAATCATTCATTTTCCGTAAAACAAACGGAGCTTTAGTTCACTTTCTCTCCTTATAAGGCTTCTTTAGAAACATCTTTTATTGATGCATGGAGCAGACCAAAAACAAATTTAGATTAGGGAGCTGTATTATCTCGGGGAGCAAAATGAAAACGAATTAGTATCATATAATAACTCTTGTAATATAACTAGCTAGTGATTAAACTTAATCATTGTACTCAACGCTAACGTCGAACTAGATATTTCGAGGTTGATGCTATGGAGTTTTCATGAACAACAAGGTTGTGCTTTGCCTAGAGACTCGTTCTCAAGAAACAACGCACCCTCGTTCACAGGTAGCAGCAAGACCTGGTGGCATTTACTATGACAGCTCAACAAAACATAGACTGCACGCCACGTGTTCGTGATAATGGTCAAACTGTGTCACATGACAACAAGCACAGGCACCCAGATAAATGGACCTGAAAATGATCCAACAGGTTGTCTGCCAAAGCCAAAGGGTGAAGTTAACCAAAACTATGCATTGATGATGGTGTGTTGGAAGCGAGCTGTATGACATGTTTAATTTACTGTGCTCTTATCTCTCTCTACATGTGGAGTATGGTGCTTTCATGTATTTTGTGCTAGGTTAAAGAGAAGGTCTACGAAAGAAAGTTGCACCAAAGAAGGGTTTCTTTGCGTGGATATGAAATCCTCCGAAGTGTGGGTTTACCCCAAAAAGTTTTAAAAAAAAACCCTAGTTATGAGTGAATTCAGCCCAAAAACGTCCACCCAAACCCTACATCTTCGTCCTCCCCCTCTCCCTTGTCTACACCACAGTCGCGCTCTCGTCGCCACCTTGAACACGTTCCGGTCACTACCGTTGTCATGCCGTAGCCTTCCCTCTCACTCTCCGCGAACATAGCGAGGGTGAGTGGGACCACACCCAGCCTTGGGCAACCCAAATTGAGGGTCGCTATGCAGGGGTTCTTGGACCTAAGGTTACAACCTCATATCGAAGGTCATTGGGGCTTTGCAAACACGGGGTGGCTTTCCATGTTGCACCTCACCAACCCAGTGATAGTTATCTATTCAAAAGATACACACCGAGACACTAATGAACTGTGAATCACCCTTACTTATTTGGGGTTAATTCAAAAAAAATGCACCAACTTTAGGTCGACGGACAATTCTGGCTCGAACTTTTGTTTGTTCCATAAAAAAGCACCAACTTTAAGTCGATGGACAATTCTAGCCCGAACTTTTTTTTGTCCCATAAAAAAGCACCAACTTTAGGTCGAGGGACAATTCTGGCCCGAACATTTTTTTATCTCGTAAAAAAGCACCAACTTTCATTTAAATCCCAAATTTAGCCTCCCATTGACTTTGTGTCTGAAGTTACCCTTGTTTGAGAAAAAAAGTTATGGTGGTGAGCTTGGCGAATCTCTTCCATGGCGTCTGTCGACGGGCGGTGGTCTACAGCTTCAAATTACGACAAAACGACGAAGTTTGGCTAGAAAGATTCAATCTAGAGATATTTTTGACTTGCCAGTGAAGTGAAGGAGACGAACAGTTTCACCGTTATTCTTCAAGCTGTGATTCAGAGAATAAGACAATGTATAATGCTTTAAATCCAGTCAGCAAGTCACGTGGATTTATTGCTAAGGTGGAATAGTCAAGTTGGAAAATCAATGATTTTAAGTCAATAAGGGCCAGATTTGGGATTTAAGTGAAAGTTGGTGCTTTTTTATGAGACAAAAAAAAGTTCGGGCAAGAATTGTCCCTCGACCTAAAGTTTGTGCTTTTTTACGGGACAAAAAAAAGTTCGGGCCATAATTGTCCCTTGACCTAAAGTTGATGTTTTTTTATGAAACAAAAAAAAGTTTGGGTCAAAATTATCCCTCGACCTAAAATTGATGCTTTTTTTTGGAATTAACCCTACTTATTTGATGTTTCATTTCTTCCTTTTATTTTTCTCTTGTGACATGATTCATTGGAAATACTTTCTCCAGTAGCTTGAATTGAGATTGTGGTTATTATATATCTTAACCTAGATATATTAGGCTGTGTCCTCCATGGCTACTTTTTCCATCCCCCAAGATTTGCAAGTTCTGTCATTGATGATGAGGACCAATAAAGCTCTCCCCCTACTTATAGTTATAGCACTGTGTTTGTACGAACACTGCAAAAATATATACGCAGATTATAAGATAAAGAAGCACGTAAATGCCACTGTAATACATGGACCAACCACATCAGTCCATCCCCACCAGCCATCTTTACTCCTCTCAGACTCCCGTGAATCCTTCACTATTCCACTCGCTTCCCTACTTTCTCGAGCATATATTCTCATCGCGTCCCTCAATCCGTATCCTCCATCCTTTTTCGTTCCTCTGGTGACGAAACATGGCGAGAAGAGAACAAGTCGTTTCTTCGTTCATGGGAGGTTGCGTTATGGTTGTGGGGTGGTCGCTGCTTCTCCAGAGTTTCTTGCTTGCTGAAGTTACAGGCATTGAATTTGAGGATGAGAAGAACTATTGCTCTCCTTCAGACCCTCGTGCTGGTTCTCCTCCTTCAGGTCAAACCCCGTTTTCGCCATTCACGACTATGAAATCTCCAAATGCTGACATGTTTGTCATGTGATCGTTTTGGCATGAAAACGTCTTACAGGTTTTGTGACTTTTGTCCTACTATGTTTGATTGCTTATCTTGGTAGATCGATGAAAGAGATATCACGTACTCAGAAAGACTCCTAAAAAGAAGTTCATTCGATCATGATGTATAAACCATATGTCTCTTGGAAATGTTGGAGATAAAACACTTTTAACTTCAAGAATTCATTGTCCCAACATTTCATGTTTATTTCCCCTCCTTGTTCTTTTCGTTTCCTTCCATTTGCACCTTCATATTATGTGCAATCTTAACTTTCATGCCTGATGATAGGTTCACGTGGACATGGGAGTCCCCCGCGGGTTACTTCGCCACCGCCTTACTGGCGCGCCGGAACGCCACCGCCACCCTACCATGTCACTCCATCACATCCCACACCGCCAACACCTGCCCGATATTGTGGCAACCCGCCGCAAGGGCACGACCCCACCCGGTCGACGCCACCTCCTAGAGGAGGTTACTACCGTTCTCCTCCAACTTCCGGAGGCAGACCCCGGACCCCAGTCATTTTGACCCCGCCAGCCACTCCTATTGATCCCGGGACCCCGAGTACTCCCACCACCATCCCGCCGCCAACGGGAGGTTACTATCCATCTCCTCCGACTTCCAGAGGCGGTAGTACCCCAACTCCGGTGATTTCGACGCCACCAGCCACTCCTATCGATCCCGGCACTCCGAGCAGCCCTTCCGTCCCAGCACCTCCTTTCAGTTTCGGTCCTTACCCAAATCCCTTCACCCGCCCTTACACGTAAGTTTATAATCACATTTCGACCAAAAAAAATGTTTATAATCACGTAGAGGAATGTCGTGCACTCGTGGTATATTTTGTTCTAAGTGAGGAGTGCAATTTTTCCAACTATGCCCAAATTTTTCAATTTGCACGGAATACCCATAGTTGCTTTTGTATGGGATGCAATAGTATTATATTTTCCTAGCTTAATATACATATAAAGTCTCTCAACACAACGTAAGAAACAACTCGATGAAACACAAAAGAATTGCTTTCGATTCTTGAGAAAGTACTTCAGTAAATGATTTTGCAAGAACTGGATCGAAAGTACAGTGTATATTTTCCCCTTAAAATATATGAACAATATGCATGGATCCAGTAGATTGGCAGTTTTCTTTTTTGCACGTATAGTTGTATACGATGTCACATATATTAATTAACCTTTCGGTCGATGATGTCTATTGCTACAAACTGCAGTTACTGGCTATCAAATCCAGGAATGGTATGGGGGGTGTTTGGGTGGTGGGTGCCGATGAGAACTGCCTTCCGCGTACCCACGACCATCCCCGGGATCCCCGCGACCCTAAACCTGATTCAGGCTCTCTCTAACACGAGCATAGATGGGCTCGGCGCTCTCTACCGAGAAGGGACCGCGGCTCTGCTCAACTCCATCGTCAACTACAGGTTTCCCTTCACCACCGCCCAAGTCCAACGGAGCTTCGTCTTGGCTCTCGGCTCGGACGGAGCCGCGTCATCTCAAGCTCAGCTCTTCAAGCTGGCCAACGAAGGCCGTCTCAAGCCCAGGGCTAATTGAAGTGAACCCGATCGTCACTGTTTGTCTGGCTATTATAGGTTGTCGGAGCAATATGTGTTAGTGGTTTTTGTGGTGGCTCTCTTATCCTTAGTTGGGATTTGAGGTGAAGTCTGTTTCATGTACGTTTGTGTACGATTTAGCGTAACTTAGCATGCGTCAAATGTCGTCAGCGGTAATTATCGGTTTCGAATTTCCCATGGATTGGGGTACGTAGACATTAATTCGCCTTTCATTTCCTTTCTGTAGGGTTGGAGTAACTTGTTGAATGCTATTCGAAAACAATCATGTGGGATCATACAAGTGCACTAATATGACATGAACTCATCATCGATTGTCGTCATTTTAACCTTGAATGAGAGATAAAGAGCTAATGGCATTATAGTTGATAGCAAAAGAGGCGAATGAATCTCCTCTCGTGGAGTAATTTTGGATCGGTTCTCGAGGCTCGAGGAAGAGAAATTTCGGTCATTTGATAACTTACCGATGCTTTTATGAAATTCCAAATTCTTCTCAATAGTCTGTAAACTACCAATTTTTGCACTACCTTATGAAACTACCAACCTAAATCACTTCATTTTACTCAAATTAAACAACCAATTTCCTGACTTTAAGTTACTCACTTTTATCTATCAAGTCGGGACACTAAAGAAGTTGTAGAGATCTTATTTGGGGGAGAAGATTCAGATGGGAAGTGAGATTCGTTCGGTGGGCTGTGACTGTTCATGTCAGCCTAATGAACGTTGCGAGCTGGGGCTGGATCTTATTGTTGACGGGCCGGTGGGATGTCCAACGACTTAGAAGATTACAAGCTAGCTATGTTCCCTCCAAATTCCTCAGGTGAGGAACATAGAATTGTACTAAAGCATACTGATAATTATTTTTAAATTTGATGATATGTTAAGATAAGTATGCTACAAAAACCATCTAGAGGTTCCGTGGCTGGTTAGAAAATTGAAAAGTAGCTATTGCAAGCCGAGCATGTAAACAAAGAGGACATGACGCATTGTGGTGGCACCAAAAGCCCTTTAATGGGATTGGGAGGTTTTATTGCCTTCAGTATCATGAAAAGCGTGGACAAACGAGACGCTTCGAGTAATTGCAGAAATAGAATCTGAACACGGTCGATGTACACGGTTTGCGAGTGTGTCTAGTTTAAGGGAAAAAGATCAATGAGATGGTTCCATTATAACCGGGAAATAGAAGATTATAATCACTCAAAACGCTCACATTAAGTGCTATATACGTAGACCCACGAGAATAAATCACAAAAGAGGAGTATTCACAACGCTTTCAACTCTCTTGGATGATAGCTCTCAAAGCTCTCTAGGGTTCTCGCAAGTACTTTTTTTTTTTAGAAAATAAATTTTGAAAATAGAATTTCAACAAGTTTGGATCAGGGCCACGTTAGGATCCCGTCGCCTGCCCAAATAGGCCCGGGCGCCGGCTAACGCACTGAAAAACACAGCAGCTACTCCGAACTGTCCCATGAGCCCAGCCACTCCTTGACCGAGCTCTTGCCCGGCGACTTAGTTTGTCCAGGCACGAAGCGGGCCGTTTCCTCTCATCTTTGATCGTCCACCTCTGTTTCCATAACCCCGCAAACACACCGAACGTCCCGAAATTCACGAGCTTGTGTAGATTCCAAATTAAATGGAAGTCATTTCGAGCCATAGTCTAATAGAAACGCCTTCTAAGAAAAGTAAAAAAAAAGGGGGGAAGTACAAAAAGAGGTGGGAACTGAACAACATTTACTTTCACTATGGTCATTGCTCAGAGGGAAAAAGGCAAAAGGAGAAGTTGTCACCATAAAACAGCAACATCAAAAGCTCCTCCTTTTGACATTGTTAAACTAATAAATCAGTCAATCTAATCGACATTTGACAATAAGACACGACGATTTGGGTGTCTTTATGGATTGGTGTCATCTCATCCCATGGGCGTACGCGGCTCTTGCTACTTCAAATTGTTATGTTGAAGTCAAATTCTAGTCCTCGGAGTTTGGCCGAGTGAGAACAAATATTTCATCCTGTCTAAATTCTGCATTCCAATCGCGATGTCTTCACTTAAAATAACTAATTTATGATTTCACACTGGCCACCTAAGGGGATTTGAGAACCTCACTTGATGCACATGAACAAGACGATCACGTGCGAATGTGAGAGTTGATGGAATTGAAAACCCAAAAATCCCGTTAAAAACAAGCGAATTGGACATCTATAAAGATATAATCTAAGAATTCATTAATTTAGTAAGCCCAAAAATGACCAACTATTGATTATAATCGACAAGTGACAGACTTAGTGAGTTCAGCGAACATGAAGTCATTGATGAATTGGACAGTTGGACAATCGACGGCTTGAAAAGAATGGATAACTCTCCGATAAAGTTATCGGCAGCATATATTAGTTATCGACAAGAATCTGCATCGGAGATGAAGTCATCGACATCGACATGTAACTGTCAAATAGCGAGATTTTCATATATACACACACACACACACACACACACACATATATATATATATATATATATATATATATATTCTTGCAGATAAGTTTTGTTAGATAATAAGAAATTGTGTAACTTCACATAACCACCGATAGAATAAGGATGTTAATTCTATTTCAGTAACTGTTGTATGTAACCACCATATATACCATCGGTAGAGGGTTATAAATACTCCAAGTGTATCCTTTGTGAAATCCCCGATCAATCAAAAATCTCAACTTTCTCGTAAAGTTATCTTTATCTTTACTTTCATGCAATTCAAACGGCTAACTGCGACTCTCTCCGGTTTTCATACATTTAAATTTCTCATTATTTACTTTCTAGTCCAAAATTATTAAGGTATCCTTTCGCAGCACTTGTTGATTCACATCTCAATCCATCCATATTCTAGAAAGATATTTCATGCCCGATTGTCAATGCCCGTCAAGCGATTAGTGCGTTACTCGAGCATTGAGGTCCCAATCAAACGCTTCAACCGGACGTCGTCGTCGTGCATATCCAATTGTCGATGCCCGTCGATTTTGACGACTCATGTTGCATTACAAATTGGTGGGAAAAAGTCGTGAATTCGTAAAAGAAACATGGGGCACACGCAGAGAGCGACCGATCGATGAGGAGAGATTGCGATGTGGACACCTTAGTCAAGAACGAGAGAAATTAACTTGGGAATCCAAGTGTCGGTGTTTAAAATTGATTCGTTGGGCGGGTCCCCTAGAGCGCGTTGCTAGGGTTAAAGTCAGTGGGCCGACCAAAAATGTGTTGAATCGGAGGAAATTGATCTCCTCGTTTCGAACCGACACGAAAACCATCGGTTCATATCTAACGTTCGCATCATGTCCTCTCGTCTTTCTCGGACCGGGAAAATTACCAAATAAGTCTTAACCCTATTATAATTGTGTCAATTTAGTGAATTTTTTTTAGTTCTAAACGTTTTATATTTGTGTCAATTCAGTCTATTCGCCCAATTTTGATCGGCCGGCGCTAACGTGGACTCCATGAAAAGATCATGTGGGTTCATGCGAACGTGAGCCACTTAAGCCCGCTGGGGTTCAATTTGCCTCTCGCTTTGAGTCTGACCAATGTTTCCGTCGACTAGATTTTCGCATATCTATGGGAAGCTTGATCGATTGTAACTTGTGGGCACAGATAGTGACCTGAGCTTAATTTCAGGGAGATTAAAGAAGATTTGCTCATTTTCGAAGGTTTTGCTCAAGAACCACAGAACTTAGCATTTGAAAATGCATGAGCCGCTCCACCATCTCCAATGTTCGATCTCGGTGCCATCTGCCATCCCCTTCGTCAGGTGGGTCGTTGGGGTTTGGGTCAAGTTTGGGCCGGGCCGAAGATGGTCCGACCCAAATTGACCCATTTAACTAATTTTGATCAATTTCCATATAATACAAATTTAGTGACTCATACCTGACCCAAACCATATCCAACACGTACACGAACCGACCCATATTGCTAAAATACTTTTATATTTAACACGATTTAGGAAAATCCGTACCAAAACTGAGGTAAAGACGCTAAATGAGCAAGCGCAAGATCAAATGATAGTGGAGTAGAATGAAGAGCGAGCCACAGAAGTGGGTTGAATTTAAATAATTTATAAACCCATTTAACACTTATATTATTTTAGCTTTATCATTGTAAATTCATTTATGAACCATCTACTTAATAAAATTAACTTATATAACAATTCAGTCCATTAAATATCGATTTCTCCATTTCTTTTCTTTCTTTCGTTTTTTTTTTTTCCAATTTGTCCTTTTTCTCCATGTATTGTTTTTGCTTCGACACTTTCTGACCGCAACTTTATAAAACAACTTTCAAATGAAGATTCATATTCTATTGTCAATTCCAGAAAGTCTTTTCGTAGGAATAATGTCTATGAAAGCGATGCTCCCCTACATTATTGATTGGAAGAAACTCTGTCCACCCACTTTTGTAACTAGAGAATTACAAGCACGTATTTACCTCCTATTCGTAAACTTATTTTGATAAATAATCAAACAAAAATCTAATGCCGCATTTATATACTCTTTCTATAAATGTCAGCTCATTCGACTTATCAACCGAAACTTTAGGATTTGACTTCATAACACTGTCCAACATTCAATCTCCAACCCCTTCTCTCTTTCTTGTGCGTGCGTGCATGCCTCTGCCCATCGCTGCCGTGTCTATCCACATTGCCATCTTGTCGTTGCCATCCATCATCGACGCTAGCACTCGATCCTGAATATCCATCTCTCTCTTACTCTCCCTCTCTCCAAGCATTGGCATGCAAGGCCTCGAGCTACGGGTCTCGACCTCGAGCTATGGATGTTGTTAAACGTACATCCCGCGAGCACTTGTTAAGCAACCGAATGTAGTGATTTCATAGCCTTTCAATGCAACGATTCGCTTGTGTCGTGTCTAATTGATAGCATTTCGTATTTCGCATGCTTAACAAATCCCTTAAAGACTTTCGTCGACAATACCCTTTAATTATTCATGAGTGCAAAACTCACCGAGACATGGAATTCTGTCAAGTGGAATTATTTAATTAGCTGGGAGGATCAAAGCTTCCTCGAACGTGGCCATTCGTAATTATGGAGCCTTCAAACCTTAATTTAAGACGAGACTATAATAATCTCCCTTAATTACTGTCGGCACAATCCACAGTAGGCCCGAGTTACAGGGGCTGTGCGCTGACGTGGCATTTTGCTTCTGTCACTATTTTCTCTTCCACCTTATC